TTCTCTTTTGAGATTTAAAAGGTTTCTGGGTCACAGATTATCATCTAATGAAGACATATGCATGTCTTCGATGGATAATCTCGCCATCCGAAACTTGAGTTGAGTAGAAAGATAAAAAAAATAGAAAATCGAACACTTTAAAGGGGATTAGATGACTTTAGGAGCATACCTTTTTGAAGACAAGACAGATAAGAACGATTCGAGCACAACAGCAATCCTAAACTTGCAGGGAGAAGAGTTTGGCTTGAAGGTGATGAACTATTTAGAGAGGGAGAACGAGGAAAGACTAGAGCTTTTTGAATAAATAAGAGTTTTTAAAAAAGGAAGGGGGGTATTTATATGAGACTTCTAGAAGAGAAGTGGGCTGGCCTCTAAAAGTTCAAGCCCAAAGATTTAAATATTTCCTTAAATTAAGGCCCAAAAATCTAAAATAACCAAAATGTCCAAGCCTRGAACHAGACTAGCTGTCGAACAGAATGATCAGTTTGGGCAACCAGCGCCTCAGAAAGAAGACAACAGAGCCTCTGCGAAGAAAAGACGCTAGAGCTTCTGTGAAGAGACTCAGAGCTTCTGCAAAGAGATGCTAGAGCCTCTATGGAGAGACACAGTTTCTGCAAAGAGATGCCAGAGCCTCTGTGAAGAGACAGAGAGTCTCTGTGAAAAGATAGTCTTTGAGAAGAATTGCCAGAGTCTCTGTGAAAGGACGCAAAGTCTTTGAGAAGAGGCAACAGAGCCTCTGTAGATAGTGTCAGAGCCTCTGTAGCTAGTGCCAGAGCCTCTGTAGCTATCACAAGAGCCTCTGTAGCTATCATCAGAGCCTCTGTGGCTAACGCAAGAGCCTCTGATCGAATTGGCGACCTCTTCAAGATCATACTCTGAATAAGGTTAATCCTAAAAGACTTAGTTTTATAATGAAGATTTCGAAATGAGGTCCTAACCTGGAAATCCAAAAGTACAAAGTTGTTACATGAAATTTGCCCCATATGAACCTTTTCATTATGAAACAGTTTCATTATGAACATGCTTCATCATTATGAAACCTTTTCATTATGCATTTAATGTAATATGCAACCGTTTCTTCGTAATGAAACCTTTTCATATGAACATTAATATATTATGCTATGGTAATATGAAACCTTTTCATTTTAAAACATTTTCATATGAACATTAATATATTATGCTATGGTAATATGAAACCTTTTCATTTTAAAACCTTTTCATATGAAACAGGTTCATAACCGGTAATTTTTGATACGATGAACCTCAAATCATTCATTCATTACATAACAAGATAAAATCTTCATGAATGTTTCCAGCTTCATTGAATAAAAAAAACCAAATCAATTTTTAATATTATAAAATATTAAAATCTTTAAATCATTCCATTTATATAATTTCCATTATTAAATTTTCTTATTTAATATTCCTTAATAATTTC